CCCATATATTAAGTCTGTGTTGCTTTCACATATCGAGCTTGTTGCTTAAGTCTTTAGTCTAATAATGACTTTTAGGTCGCATTCTAATTTTGTCTGTTGTTGCTGCGCCCTCTCTACAATGCGAGGCATATTAGCATATTTTTCAGCTCCTCATAAATCATGTTAGTAAATTATGCTTTTAAAAAATTTGTGGCATTGATTCTAAGCATTAGCAGTTGGTGAACAGGTGTAAGAAGAAAGGTTCAATTTCGGTAGTATATATGTATGTCTGTAGTAGCGGTAGCAGAGTATGCAAATTAAAAATATTTATAAAATGTGGACGTGTTAATTAACTAAATTAATGCACATAAAATATTAATAATGAAGACACTAACTTTCGTAAAATTTTAATTAGTAAAAAGGGAATTCATATTTGGGTAAGTTGACCAAATTGTTGGGAATTCCAGCAGTAATAATTTAAATATAAACAACTTTAGGCACGTTAGTAAAGGGTTTAGACCGCAACTGAATTGTGTAAAGTAACGAAATTCCATTACACTATTGTATACAGTCCGCTGTCACAATGAATATATTTATATCCATATTCTTTTTTAGCATTATACGTAATAATACCATGAGTAGAAATTATTTAAACAGAATAACAATAATAATTTATATGATAAAATTACTATATGAATATCAATTTTAGTTATAAAAGTCACATTTGTAAGCATATTTTCTAAGGGATGCCACCTGTTTTAAAATTTGAATTCAAATGAATAGATAGCATAAACATATTATTACAATATATGTAAGTATCAAACTGAAGAAATTTAATTAGGACCCCCCCCCTTGAACTTGAAATTTAATAAAGGTGTTGCCACTATTTAAAATTTCGAATTCTACTAAATTTATTAACAAATTATGAAAAACTAAGGTGGTGATTGCCGCTTCTTAAATTTTTTAATCCAATTAAATTTTAAAAAAAATTTAAACATTAAAAATATTAAACATAATTTAAATATTTTAAATAATAAAATAGTAAACAAAAGCGGCTAAAAAAATTTCTTTGAAAAAGGGTTGCCATCACAAACTAATATAAAAATTTCGTAATTAGAATAATGAGAAATTGCTGATACACATACAAATGTTTTCAGTGAGACCAGTAGTTAAAGTATCGTTTTTCAGTAAATTACAATCTATTAGTAGTAATCTAAAATTTTTTACCTAAAATTAATAGTTTTTCTTCCCTAGAAGCTGGGTGTTAGAAATTATGATAGCATAAAGATTGGATCATAGTATAAATTTAAATTTTTAAAAACAACACGAGAAGAAGCCCCAAATAAATGTTAACTTCAAAAGGGCTGCGTGATTTTATTACTAGTGCCACATGCAGGCAATTCACACTTTGAATAGATGCAAGTGCCGAAACACCCAAAAAGTTAAAGTAAAAAGACAAAAAACCGTTAACTGTACAAGTGTACTGTAATCAGAGCATAAATTACAATTTTTTGGTACTATTTGAAATAGGTGAAACAATACATGTGTACAAGCGTATACATATATTAATATGTAAATGAACCAAAAATACATAAACATATCCACATTTCCCCACAAAGCAGCCGCAAGTGCCTCAGCGTCTTTGCAAAAGCGCCTTAACGACAGCGGTCCCAAAGAAATGTAAAGAGAAAATCTCAAATTGAGTTTGTGCGGCAAATTAACGCATCGTAAACGGGCCGCCACCTTACAGCAGCATAATTTGTTGTGTGCACACACATCGCTATCTGTACATAGTTGTATACAGCAGTGAGGTTTGCAGAGAGTTAAAGCACTGTTAATGATCTGCAGCCGCGATTCGCGTAAATATCTTTTTCATTGCTTTGAAAGGAGAAGTGGAAACGGCAACTATGCAAACTGGCAGGTCGTTAGATGCGTGAATTGTTTTTTTTTTGTGTAGAAGCAAACGCATGTACATATATGTATTCTACAGTGGGCAGCGAATAGTGAAAAATGATTAAAATTAAAAAAAAAAAACAATAATTAAAATTAAAAAAAATTTGTAAATATTTATCAAACCAAATAAGCAACATATACATATGAGAGAGAGCGACAGCGATGAAAGATAAAAATTAAACGAACAAACCTTGATTTAGTGATAAGTGAAACGTATTGTTTTCGTACAGTACAGTCTGTATGGAAATTATGGGAAGTATGGAATTAGAGAAGGGATATCTTACTTAGGCTAACAGCTTCGACATTTTGAATTATTGCTCGGCAAAACAATGTGTCTAAAAACTTAAAATGTGTTTTGACTTGGATCGAATTAAGATAGCCTTTTTGCCAACTTTTGAATAGTAGTTACTTTTTATGAATTCGAAAAGCATAGAAAAGATGTAATATATTAAATTTGCGATAGAATTGTCATGTATTTGAGAATTGGTTCTCATATACAATACAAAGCACTTGGACCTCCAAAGCCAATGTATTTATATTTTAAATTTAGAAATATATTTTTCAGCCTTAATGTTACTTTGTGAATGAAATGAGAACATGATATTTAATTTCACAAAATAAATTATTGAAAATATTTTTTTAAAAATTGTTATGGAAATTTAAACCAAAGTAATATTTTAAATAAGTTATTTGAATTTAAGTTCTTATTAAGTTCGAGTATCCGATTTGCTACTACCCTGCTCGTTTAGTTTGAGCTTTGTTCTCTTGCCAACAATATTTTTTTATGTGAGAGTAAATGTAGATAACTCTTTGAAGTTTTTTATTCTTATATCTCGATTTAAATAAGCCACTTGTTTGTTCGCCTGGTCACTCTCAAAATTTTTTTGAATAAAATTAAGCAGTTTACTTTCTGTTTATACCATGACCACCTAAAATTCCCTCCCACAACTAAAATTTTTTGAGGCACATTGCAGTTTTATTACACTGTGCAACCTCATGATATGTATGAGTGTGTTTCTGTGAGGAGCAGTGGTGCGTGCGGCCTAAATGCGGCAAATTATCAGACGCATAATCATTCGCTTGTGTGAATTTATGTTGGCGGCGCTACATATAAATATTTTAGCAAGTCACACATATGCTTAACAAGTGAGTGCCGAATAAAAAGTGTGACTGCAGACAAATCTCTAACATTTTATTTGACTATTTGCTTTGTTACATATTTCTTTTCAAGCCATTTAATTTCTTAAATATTTACTTAAAATGTTCATCTTCTTTTTTCCTCTTCTATAGCATCTTCCAATATTTACACTACTTTTGCTTTCTTTTGTTTTATTTTTTGAAGTTTTTTTTGTAGACTTTATTCACTAATGTGGTTGTCTTTTGGTCTCTTCATTCGCGCATTTATGATTTGAATGTGCAATATTTACATTTAGCGAGCAAATATCACAAATAAACGCTTAAGTGTAAATTAAATTTATTGCTTGGCATAAATATTTCTTAATGAGATCTCTTGAGTTGTAACTGCGAGTACAGTGACTTTGAAACGCCGCGAATAAGCTGATTTTGCATTAACAACATTAGCGTGTTTATATGGCATTTAAAAAAATGTTCATGAATACATACATATATATATTTTAATATAAATATATATATAAATATATATATATAGACATAAAAACATATACATTTGTAAATTGTGCTCAAACTTCTATAGTTATATACATATGTGATGTAAGCTTTGTATTTAATTAACATTAAATCAAATTCAGCTGAGCCGGAGATAAACTGTATATACACGCTACAAAAATTATAAAGATACTTGATAGCCATTAACAGATATTAGAGTTATTTAAGTGTTCCATTACAGCAGTTGCTGACTTCAAAACAATTTCGTAATTGCATTTTAAAACTCCATTGAGTGTTGCCTAATTAAGAAAAAATTATCTAAATGGATTATTAAATATTTATCTTTCTAGGGGTTCCACTTACTAAACATAATCGTTTCTTATTTCAAAATATTTCACTTTCATATTTTTATACCTGCAGTCTTTAATTGTTTACAGAAGTGTCAGTCTAAAAGTTTACGTTTTTCTCATTTCATGAGATTTTCTATAAATATCATGCGATTTTTTGTGTGTAAAAACTGTGTTGCCTACATTTTGGAGCGTATTTATAGTAAAAGGGGTCAAAATTAATTGTTTTCAAATACAAGAAAATCTATTAAATATGACATTGAAGTATCTTTATGAATGGACAATAGTAATACACTGTATAATTACATATAATTATTTATTGTTTGTATTAAACTAAAAATAAAATATTTATTTCTCTTCCCAAAAAGCCTATTTTTATACCCTGAACTTTTCTTTTGGTTGCTACAAACTTCGTGACAAGATTTATATACACTAAGTAATGTATACATACAAGTATAAATGATAAGATAAGATAAGCGTGACGAACTGACCGTCTATATATAAGCGAACTAGTCCCTCAGTTTTTGAAATATCGATCTGAAATGTTTACACGTCCTTTTCTCATCAAGAAGCTGCTTATTTGTCGAAAACGCCGATATAGCGACCATACAAACTAATCGATAAAAACTAAGATCTTGTATGGATAACTTTTTTATTTAACAGGATATCTTCACAAAATTTTTTTGGGTGCAGACGAACTTAACGTTTTTTCTTGCCTTAATGTTTTTATAAAGAAATTTCGACACCAAAGTTTGTAACAACATCGTGCACTGCAAAAATAGCTCTCCAACACTCTCTAAGAAATGCTGCTCTAATATTATGCTAACAAAGTGTGCGTATGTATATACTTTTGGAGGGCATTTTAGGGAAGTCTCATGTTTTTGTTAATTAGAATCTTAGATTCTATTGAGAATATTATGTTTTTTATTTCGAAGATCTTTATTCAATATTTTATTGTATATAAGAAACCTATACAATAAAATAATCTTATATTATAGAGAATTGTACAAATTTAAGCCGAAATTTACGAATCTTCTCACATGTTCATATTCAATCAGGAACCAATTAGTTTGGGAATTTTAAAAATTACGAATTCACATGCAAATATGACGCAAGGTCTTTTTAACCCATTATTTAACAATTTCTTCCCCTCCTCAGAACAGTTATTTTAAAAAACAATAACTAGACTTTCCCTAAAAACAATTGCCGTGAATTCCATTAAATGCCTCAAATTAATCGAGTTGCAATTTGTGTGCCTCATCATGTTCAATTTAGAACAATTTCAGCCACAACACGCAATCACATCACATCTAACGGTCCAAAACTGTAATCTGGGTATAAAAACTGCAGTCCGTTGAATTGACCACGCAGTGCGGCTAAAATAAGTATTGAAGTGACATCTTAAAAAATTTATTTAATATCGGTAATACAACAGACTTTAAAAGCATGTTGCGCTTCGTAGCCGCTTTAGTGCTGATTTGCACCGTTTATCATGTGGCAACCACAACTGCTGCACCGCATCCACCAACAACAGCAGCACCGCTGTTGGCCAATCAGGCAGCCTATGACACGAAATTCGATAACATCGACCTGGACGAGGTTTTGAGCCAGGAGCGTTTGCTGCGCAACTACATTAAATGTCTGGAGAATACCGGTCCTTGCACGCCTGATTCCAAAATGTTGAAGGGTATGTACAGATACACTGTGCTTATGCATATAAGAATAATATTTTTTTATTATATTATACGAAAATATATGTATGTATATTTTGAGGTTTCGCCAATTTCAGAGATACTCCCCGACGCTATATCAACCGATTGCGCCAAATGCTCGGAGAAGCAGAGGCTTGGCTCAGCGAGAGTGACGCACTTTTTGATCGACAATCGCCCGGAGGATTGGGCGCGTTTGGAGCAGATATACGATCCGCAAGGCAATTACCGTTTGGCCTATTTGGCGGAGAAGGACAAAAGCGATGGCATGGAGAAAACTACGGAAGCGGTTACTAAGCCACAGGCCTGAACCATTGCGCTATATTAACTGCACGCGAACATGGACCTTTATAGGAATTAATGGAACAGCGTTGTATTTTTCGAATTTATAGTAAATAGCTCAATTTTAAAAAGACATATACTTAATTTTAGAATTGCATTCCAAAAAGTACAAAAAAATATAAAAAGCAAAACAAAAACCCAACAAAAAAAGTCGAACAAATTATTATTGAACAATTTCTATAATTAGTGGTGTGCATGATTGCCAACTGTCTCCAAAAACAAAATTATTAGCGAATTTAAGTTCGACAATGAGTTTGAATGTTTCATATATATTTATTTATAGAGTTGCCATCTGACCTATACAATTTTAATGTTTAAAAGATTTATTTTTAAAAGCGCTAACCCTCAATCGGCATAACAATCATTCAGAGGTATGATGAAGATTTTCATTATTTTAAGTAAAGAGCTCGGCCAAGCATCTATATATCTAAAAGGAAAAACTACTTGTCTTAGAGCAAGTGTCTTTATTTCTAGCGTAGAAAGCTCACATAAGAAAAGCAATTTTAAATCCAGGTAAAATTCCGAACAGAGTTGCCATAAAAAATATTCCAGTATTTAGTTATAGTAGTCATGCGATAATTATTTTTATGTGATAGCTGCTAGGAGTGATTCCGAACCGAGTTGCCGTATATTATAACAAAAATATTCAACTTTTTAGTTATAGTGCATTTATTTGGAATTTATTTTTCTGAAAAGTGTGATTTCGAATAGGGATGCCATATTAAAAAGTATTTTTTTTTAGTTCTTAGTTTAAGCTCTTAGGGTGATTTGATAAAGTATGTTAGTAGTTTTTATAGCCGAATTGTATATTTAGGTAAAGGTTTTGTACTAACAACTACACACTGTTCGTAATAATAAAAGATCAAATAAAAAAATTATAAATGGCGTTTACAGGGTGCCGCAATAATTTTTTTAGCTTTTCCGTTATACTGCAACTGACTAAAAAGTGATTTTGTGGTCTTTATAGTTCTATTTATGGAAAACAATTTTACTCTCTCTAACTCTAGAAGCAAATAATAACAACACAACAAAAATAAGGAACACAACAAAAAATAAGGAATTACAACAATAAAGCAATTAATATTTCTTTCCCTTGTGAAAAGCGTAAAAATACAAATCAAGTCTGTAAAAAAAGCATACATTTCTTTGAAAGCATATCGAATTGCTCACACATCGCAGCCATTTAGAATTAATTATGTTTTTTGATATAATTAGTAGTTGTAATGAATCAAATGGAAAGCACAATAAACACTAAAAAAAAAAACTTTAAACAGGTCCAAGCGGTTTGTAGAGATGCACAAAGCCATGGAATTGTTTTCGCTGTGAATAAATAATCCGCTTGATTAAATAAGAAATGGGGTGCATGCTATATACAATATACTAAAATTATTAATAATTCACTAATATACGTGAGTATATATTCATAGATGAACATAATTGGTGGCTTTGAAACAAATCTTGCTGCTAGCCATGCGCTATTCCCAGAAGTTGTACCCGACTTCGCTCACACGCTGAGCCTACCGCTAAGTGTGCTTGTATTTGGAAGCGTAAGTGTGTCTGTGCATGTTTTGAACCTTTTTAACTAATTTGCATTTGTCATCAGTACTTTTGTGAGCTTTGAAAGAAATATGTACTTCATTAAGGTGTCGGTCCCCATTTGGTTTTGTTATTATAATCTATTCTACTATTCGATTGCTTTCATTTCTGCAGCTGTTTGAGTTGTCACATACATACATATGTATATGTTTACAAATTCATATATTCATATAAAAAGATATGTGTATTCATATTCGTCTTGATATTTAAATTTTTATAAGCAATTTGAAGGCCATTAAACTAATACTACGCCAAAATATCCGAGCTATGATTGTCTTTTGAAGCTTGGCTTTCAGACTTTTATTTGTTTATTTTATTTTTGTTGCTGTTATCTTTTGTTACGAATTGGAAAGTTGGCTCACAATTTTATGTGCTGAAAGAATTAATTGATGCATTAGTAAAGCATCTGTGGGGTATTAAACAAACTTATTAGCATTTACATATATATGTTAACGGTATAACCATGTAGTTCACCATGCAAGCTAGCATCTAATGTGTCAAATTGAAATCCATTTCATAGTTTTCAACTTCATTTGTCCAATGAAGCTGCACAAATACTTATAGATATGAGCTAAATATGAAAACTGGTAATGATTCAAGGAAAACTAGCAAGTATGTATCTATAGACATATATATCAAACATATAACTATTAATTTATGGAAGAATAGCTTATATCGATGTTGAAATTTATTAATTTGAATATTTTAAATTTTAATTGAAATTTATTCAAACTAGAAAGTATACCCTAAAAAGAAATAATTCTAACACACAACTTTTCCGAACAGAGGCCACTAAGAAGATTCATAAATAGAAATAATATTTTAAAGCTAGATCAGCAATATTTTTTCTTTTTTCTCTAACAGACAACTACTGATTTTAAGATAGTGACAAAGTTCATCAAATTATCTGCATTGAAAGCTCAAATGATTGCTGATATTTTATCGGCTCTGCAAACTCTCCCGAATACAAAACTTGACCCGCCTTTTATAAGTTAAAATTTAGTGCTAAAATAAGTTCTTGATATTTAAGGTATGTTTAGCTGAATTGTAATACTTTTGCTAGAAAATTTCTTTTTCCGACCTTCCAATTTTCCAACTTTGAAAAATTGCAAATTATTAATAATAAAATCCCATTTTGTGTACTTTCATTTATCTAGTTTATCTTATTTATACAACCTGTACCAATGGAATATTCCACAAAAAGCATTTCGAGCCTAATGAACTTATTAAACTGCAATGGTTTCAATCGAAAATGCCTTCTGATCCTTATTTCTAGACAAAAGTGGACAACAATGTCAAATTATCAGCTGGTAACGGCCGCCAATACAATGATTTGACATCTTACATTTTAAAAGATTTCTAATTATTCTGTGCGTGTAACTTTTTTTGTTCTCTAACCATCAGAATGGCAAGAGACTGTTTGAAATATGACTGAATTCAGTTCTGAATTGTATGAAACGGCAAAATAAATAATATATCTAATTTCAACTCACTTATAAAACATTTTTCCATTATCGCGAAAAGTAATTATTGACTTATGTCATTTTGATGCTTACCTACAAGAAAAGAAAGAAGAGCAGAATAAGTAAATATATTTTATCAAAAAAGTTATAAAAAATTAAAGTACATTACACAGCTAAATTATAAATAAATTGAGATAGATAACAAAGGAAATTGCATTACTATAAGGAAATAAACAGAAGAATATCCAATGAAAGTAGTTGTAACTATTAAATTAGTAAATGATGACTAGAAAATGAGTAAAAATAATTACTTAAACAAATAATGAGTACAAATATCAGCTGAATATCGCGAACATTAGCGCATAATTATTTACGAAAATTTTGGAATTTGGAGGTACTCAAGCACATTAATTATCAATTAGTCGCAACACATTAGTCGCAATTATTTGTTGTTGTCACGAGTATGGAGTAATAGCTAATCTGAAAAAAACATTTCCACTCGATACTATCAAAATTTAATGACGCTTATCCAATATTTGTAATAAAAGCTTAGGTAACATTCGACTAACTTTAAATGTATAATGCAAATATAAATATAAATAAATACTGGTATACATTTCTATAGAAAATATTTTTATAGGAAGTCGTAATACTTTTTGCAATTTCCATAATATTTTTTTAATCGTCTAACATTAAGTTCCACTAGACGCAAATAAAATAATTGCACCGCTAAATATGCAAATCTTACTCTAATCATAATTACAAACGATTTTTGTTGAAAGTATTCGTTATTAAATGCTAGAACCTTTTTTTTTTAATGTTTTCATTAGAAAAAATGTGGACTAAATGGATTAAGTTCATAGGACAATATATAACCAATTTGTAGGCATTCAAATGGATTATTAGAAGCAAAGTCTCTTCTAGATAAATATTATTCCACAGGAACTAATCTGTTTGTATAAAAATAAGCTTTCATTCTAACTGTTACAATAATTGAAAAGACTTTAGAGCATTCAGTATTCAGACCCAATAAAATTATTTTAAGTTAACAATCGCCTTAAAGCTTTTGGAGTTTTTATAGCTAAGCTTCTTAAAAAGTTATAAAAATGAAGTGCAGCTATTATCTTTTAGTTCATTACAAAATCAAAATTTTTATAGCTTCAATAAATTTCAGAGCTTTTACTTTTCTGTCTCATTAAAAATTGTTTAAAAAAACCACTGTCTCAAAATTTCACACCAAATTTTGGTGCATTTTGAAATGCTTTTTAAAAATTGGAGCTTTTTACTCTGAGTTCAACAGAAAATCAAAACTTTTGGAGCTTTAATAAATTTCAGAGCTTTCACTTCTCACTTAATCCGGAAAGTTAAACTATTTTCAATTCTAAAAAAATTTTACATTAACAAATTTTAAAGTTTTTTCTCTTAATTTTATTAGAAATCAGGAAACTGGTATTAAATTTTAGTTGTTGCTACTTTATTCGTTTAGTATTTCAAGTATATTCATTTCATATTTTTCATGTAAAGGACCATTAAGTGTTACTATCCACCCTTCCTTCATAGTTTACCTATCACTCAGGCATGTCAATGCAAAGGTGAAAGGTGACAGGTTGTTAAACTTCTTAGTGCCAGTCATTGAAGACAGTGCATATGTTTCAACAAAGTATATGCAAATGCATGCAAATATATTATAAGTAGACAGCTATGTGCAATTTAGAATGTCTCAGATATATTTTAAGATGGTCATATTATGCAGCGAATAATAAGAATTGAAAGGGCATTTGAAGGGCTTCAGCCTAACAAAATTAGTAGCTAGAGGGCGGGTTTTTGTTAAGAAGCTTGTTACCTGTCTTTTGGTCTTAATGTAGTCATATATTGAATGTGTTAACACATGAAGACTTGTGGGCATGTAATTTGAAACGGACCCAATGCCAATCACTTATGATTTATTGTGCTGTGTGGAGCTCATGGATGTGATTATGCATATTAATGACAAATTTTTTAAAAAGCTTTTGACAATGGTTTTATGATGCACATAGGGGGTGGAAATTCGATATATTCATATTTTTAGCCTAATAGAATACGCTTAA